AAGTCATTGAAGTGGTCTGAAGTCCTCATGTGAGGGGAGGGACATTAGTTATACTGCAGTACCAAATAAGGCTTGGGGACATATTGTTTAGTTAAGCTTCTGAAGAAAGTATCAGGGACCACAGAGAATACCAGATTCAGGCATCTTGAGATAAACTAGTTATTTGTTGCAGCCTATGACTATGTTTATGAAACATTTTAATATGGAGTAAAAACCTTGAGAACAAAATAAAAATCTCATATTGGTTTGGTTTATTTATTTTGTTAGTAAATCAGTTGGTAATGCTTTTTTAAAAATATATTTTATTAGTTATTCTATTATAATTGTCCCATTTTCCCCCTTTATTCCCCTTTGCCTTGCATCCCCCACCCCCCCACATTCACCCCCACCCCCTTAGGTCATGTTCATGGGTTGTACATATAAATTCTTTGGCTTCTACATTTCTTATACTATTCTTAACCTCCCCCTGTTTGTTTTCTACCTACCACTTATGCTTCTTATTCCTTGTACCTTTTTCCCCATTCCCACCCCTCCCCATCCCCTTCTCCCTTTCCACTGATAACCCTCTATGTGATCTCCATTTCTATGATTCTGTTCCTGTTCTAGTGTTTGCTTAGTTTGCTTTTGTTTTTGCTTAGGTTCAGTTGTTGATAGGTGTGAGTTTGTTGTCACTTTACTGCTCATATTTTTTATCTTCTTTTTCTTAGATAAATCCCTTTAACATTTCATATAAGGGCTTGCTTGGTGATGATGAACTCCTTTAACTTGACCTTATCTGAAAAGCACTTTATCTGCCCTTCCATTCTAAATGATAGTTTTGCTGAATAGAGTATTCTTGGATGTAGGTCCTTGCCTTTCATGACTTTGAATACTTTTTCCCAGCCCTTCTTGCCTGTAAGATTTCTTTTGAGGAATCAACTAATAGCCTTCTGGGAACTCCTTTGTAGGTAACTCTCCTTTTCTCTTGCTGCTTTTAAGATTCTTTCCTTCTCTTTAATCTTGGGTAATGTAATTATGATGTGCCTTGGTGTGTTTCTTTAGGTCCAACTTCTTTGAGACTCCCTGAGCTTCCTTGACTTCCTAGAAATTTATTTCCTTTACCAGATTAGGGAATTTCTCCTTCATTATTTATTCCAATAAGTTTTCAATTTCTTGCTCTTCCTGTTCTCCTTCTGGCAGCCCTATGATTCAAATGTTGAAACATTTAAAGTTGTCCTGGAGGCTCCTAACCCCTCCTCATTTTTTTTTTAAATTCTTGTTTCTTCATTCTGTTCTAGTTGAATGTTTCTTTCTTCCTTCTGCTCCAAACCATTGATTTGAGTCCTGGTTTCCCTCCCATCACTATTGGTTCCCTGTACATTTTCCTTTACTTCATTTTGGATAGCCTTCACTTTTTCCTCTATTTTGTGACCATATTCAACCATTTCTGTGAGCATCCTGATTACCAGTGTTTTGAACTCTGCCTCTGATAGGTTGGCTATCTCTTCGTCACTTAGTTGTTTTTTTCCTGGAGCTTTGATCTGTTCTTTCATTTGGGCCATAGTTTTCTATCTCTATGCACTTGTTGCATACTAAAGGGTGGAGCCTTAGTTATTCTCCAGGGCAGAGCAAGCCAGGTCACTGTGTTGTGGCACTATATGTAGGAGAGGGGTCAGAGAGGAAACAATGGTCCTTGCTGGGCTCTCAGATGGCTTTCAGTCACTTCCCCTGCTACCCACAAGCAAACTGGACCCTTCTGGTGCTCATCCCTAGGTATGTGGGTTTGTGTACATTCTAGGACTCTGTGAGTCTCTCTAACAAACTCTCCTGTGAGGCTGGGAGTTTCTCCTGCTGCCATAACCCCCACAGGTTTTTTTCAGTCAGAGGTTTTGAGGCTTTATTTCTTGCACTGGAACCCTGGGTTGCGCAGTCTGTCTTGCTTCCCAGTAGTTCCTCCTGGGTTATCTGCGCAAAAAGTTGGGACTGCCCAGTCTGCCAGCTGCCACCTTGCCTGGTCCACCAGCCACTGCCTTACCAGCCCAGGTTGTCCACCCACCACCTTGCTTTGCGTCCTCTCCACCCCACTGATAACCCTTCAGATATTTATTTCTTAGTTACATGTCACCCTCGCAGTCATTGGTGTAACCTTCTAAAGGGGAAGATCAACAGCTATCATGTGGTCCCCTCAAAATCCACCTCCTTCATTGCTGAACTCAACCAATGCTACTGGCATTCAGCTGATGTGTTAAAACTGACAAAGTTAAAACTTCTTTAAGTTAGAGATCCCCTAACTAATTAAAGTAATTTAAGAGTACTTTTATAAACTAGGGTTAGTAATAGGTGTAGAATTTTACTGAACCATTTATTATGTCTTTCCTGAAACAGTTCAGATATTTTACAATTCTTTCACTAACCTTTGTATTTTTTTTTAAATAAGCATTCCTAATTAAAGCTTAACCCTAGCTAGAGAAGAATGCAGAAATCCTATGTGTACTGCTTGGTGAATATCACAACATGAACCCTCCATGGAATTATCTTTCAGACAGAAAATTTTGCCAGCACTCAGAAGCCTTCTCATTCCCTTCCCAATGGTTCCTCCATCTCGCCTTCCCAAAAGATACTATTGTCTTGGCTTCTAACAGCATAGATTAGTTACACTTATTTTTGAATTTCTTATAAGTAGAATATCTAGGTTTCTAATCAGTGTGTGAATCCTTTGGCTCAACATTATGTTGGCAAAATTCATCCAAGTGATTATAAATAGCCATGGTTCTTTGACTTTCATTGCCAGATGCTATCCTGTAGTATGAATGTATCACACTGGAAGTTCAGTCTACTGTGGAACAGTGAGCAGTGCTATCTGTATTGAGAGATACTATAAATAACATGGCCATGAACATTTTTGTACCGGTCCCTTGGGGTAAATGTTCAACTTTTGTAGATAATTTCAAACAGATTTCCAAAGTGGTTGTACTAATTCACCGTCTTAGTAGCCAAGAATGAGGGTTCATACACAACATTTTAGTTCAAATATTTGATGATTGTTCATGAGGTTGGGAGCTCAGAGGAAGAAGCATCACCTCTATCCTCATAGAGCATAAGGATTTTATATATTCCACCCATGAGGACTTGGCTGTCTTCTTGAGCTCTTGTTATTGTGATTTACTCCCTAGATGCAAGTGTTAGCACTCTAACTGGAAGCATTTTCTGGAGTTTTCTGTGAACTGAAACAATTCAATAATGCATGGCAGGGTACCTGTGTGGCAATCTCACATGTAACTACATTAAAATAATCTTAGCATTGTTGATTCATTCATTTGAAAAGAGCATATTGAAGTAAGCCATTCAGAAGGCAAAGCTACTTTAAGCTTTGACACTATGCTGTGGTCACAGCAAAAACAAACACTAAAATCTTCCTAATATATCTAGTGCTTATCTTAGTATCTAAACATACCAGAGCTTCTGCAGTACACACCTTAGAAGGCTGCATTGATTGAACTGAAAATAGGTGTCTAGAACTTCTGACTATTTCTTTTAAGTAAGTCAAAGCCTTTTATAAAAGTGCCTTATAAATACTAGTTATCCTATCCCAGAAAATCTTGTAAATTCTACCTACATTATGCTTCTTTAAGAGACCTGTGAGAGATGATCATTTACCTTAGATAACCCTGGGTGTCAGGGACAATTCCAGATACAAGTTTGCAAAATGAAAGAGGTTGATTATTTTAAGTTTTCTTTGAAAGGCTCAGTGAGAGTGTGGAGATGGTGTGAACAAGAAAAGAGAATAACATTCCTGAATTTATCTGTAAGTAATATATATAATTTTTCTTCTTGCTGATGTTAAGGAGAAACTCATCCAGCAAGTTAAACTTGTAGCCTTCAAAGAGATCCTCCCTGCCTTGCCTCATACACCTCAAGGAGGAAAAGCAGGAAAGTGATGTCATCACTGAATAATTCATGGAAGATTAATAGAGGCTTAATCTCCATTGTATTGCCAGTACCCAAGGTTTCTTTGTCCACCACATCCATTCTCAACCTTGATTGTCTTTATTTTTTAACTACATGAATGGTCACTCATTTTTAATAGGACATCAATATTTTTAATTACCTTTCTTCAGCCCACAGAGTCATGTGAAAAATGGTGCTGTCATCTTAAAGTGTCTGATGATGGTTAAAAAAAAAAGAACCAGTGACATAAAAGTGAGGTTTTCATGTTTGAATCTAGTAAAGCTGTCTTCTTGCCACTTGCTTTTAATGGCATCAGTTGACTTAATTAATTTATGGATTGACATTTGGCATGGACCCTGGCAATTTTTTTCAAGAAATGGTAGGAATCCCTGGTACGTGGGGAGAGGAAAGCCCTCCTGCACATTGGCACAGATTTAAGTTAATCTGCATTTAACTAGAAGGTTTAAAGAATGGGACTTCTTGTTGTGCAAGTAGAAAGCAGTCTCCACCCTACCCTCATTTCTACACAGGTTGGAAAACCTCCATCTGGGAAGGATGGTGATATCTCAACCTTTTCTCTGCTTCCAGGAGGCTACCTCTGGAGGTTCCAGGGTAGGGGAGAGATGAAAAGACAGGGTAGAGCTGGTGGGGGGGGGCGATGGGCTGGGAAGGGGGTTAAGGGCAGAAAACTGTGCTTGAACAACAATTAAAGTAAAAAAATAATAATAAAAGAAAAGACAATGTAGAAAAAGTCTTATTTGACTGTAATGGTTTGACTTGAAACTTATTTACATTTGAATAATTAATGAAATATAATCGAAATTTATTTTGTACTTAGTGGATATTTAAAATTTTTGTTGTTGTTGTTGTTTGTCACGAGGTATTACTGTGGATTCTTTGAAGAACCCCACCTCCACTTACTAGAATTTCTCAGTTCCCTTACTGGGGGAAATTTTCCATCTCTCTGCTGGGCAGAAGGGGAGGGGCTACAATAATAAAAGTTATATTACAAAATTTGCCTAAGAGTTTGAGTCTGAAAACAGACAGTGTCACATCTTTTCACTTTCTTTCTTTTAAATATGGAATGCTTCACGAATTTGCGTTTCATCCTTGTGCAGGGGCCATGCTAATCTTCTCTGTATTGTTCCAATTTCACTATATGTCCTGCTGAAGCAAGTATATGTTTTCACTTTCACCCATTATATTTCGTCTTTAAATTAGAAGACAAATAATTAAATTGACACTATTAAGATTTTTTTGTTTGTTTTGTTATTTTTGTAAATACAGCTTTCTTTTTAGGTTATTAAAGAAATTCTCTGTGAAATTAATATAAGATATGTCTGGAAAAAGTCAAGCCATTGTTAATGTAATCAGAACAGTTTGTGCAACATTGATATAAACTGGCAGTCAAGGAGAGTGGACTGGAATGTGCATGCGTGAACAATGATGACTTCACTGTACTAGTCAGGGGGAGTGGTAGACATCATTGAGTGAGCATGTGTATTGTGTGGCCATCACATTAAAATGACTGAGCAAGTAGAGCAATAAAAAAATATGCATCAAATTTTGCATTAAGTTTGAACATTCCTACACAGAAACTATTTGGATGATTTGGAAGGTAACAGCTATAGAGAACTGGTGACTGACATCTTCACAATGACAATGTGCCTGCTCATGCATCACATCTCCTGAAGAGTTTTTGGTAAAATATCAAATCACCCAGGTGACTCAGGCCCCCTACAGCCCAGATATCATGTCCTGTTACTTCTGGCTTTTCTGAAAACTAAAACACCTTTGAAAGGGAAGAGATTTCATACCATCGACAAGATTCAGGAAAATATAATGGGGTAGCTGATGGCGATAAGGATAACTATGTGAGGTCCCAAGGTGCCTACTTTGAAGGAGACTGAAGCATCATTATCCTATGTACAATGTTTCTTATATCTTATATCTTCAATAAATATCTCTCTTTTTCATATTACATGGATGGCTATGTTCTAGACAGATCTCGTGTGAACATTCTTGAAATTTTGATTTACCCTGTTATTCTCATCTGCAAGATGAGAAAACACAAGTCTAAGTTTTAACAATTATTTTGTAGCAGAATGAAGTCAAGAACAAGGAAGAGTCTTCCACACCCTAGGACATTGTTCTGTCAACTATACCAGTGTGCCTTGAGAGTGGAGACTTAATAAAATGGTTGTTTTATAGGTGGTACTATTGATTGTTTTGTTTTGTTTTGTTTTGTTTTTTGAGATTGGCCTACCTTATCTTAAAACATTGAAGCATAGGGGTATGATAGAGATGATACTGCTCTAATTCCATTCTTAAATAATCTTTTTAAGATAATCTTTTTCAATTCAAGTGAAGACAAAGAGGAATTGAGGCCACAAAAATTATTACTTCTTTTTTAAAAGTTTCTCTAAGGAACCTAAAAGGCACTGTTGCAGTTTAAATGATGAGCAAATTTGTATTTGTACTTATATTATACATACTATTAGTATGATACAATCATCACAGTGGATGCCTAAAACTGCAGATAGTACCAAACCCTATATACACTATGTTTTTTCTTATACACACATACCTATGATAAAACTCAATTTATAAAATAGGCACAGTAAGAGATTAACAACAATACCTAATAAGAAAAATAAAACAATTATGACAGTATCAAAGTTATAAGAATGTGGTCTCTCTCAAAATGTGGTCTTACTGCTCTTGTGATATGATAATATCTTACTGTTCTCATCTTGTGAGATGATAAAAATACCTTAATAAGTCAACAACTTTCACCCTTTACAGTGGTGTATCTGAATTACCAGCATCACTACTCTTGTGCCTTAAGGTCATTAAGTAAAAGGCTGGTTGGTGACTTGAATGCAAGCACTTCGATACCTCGGCAGTCAATCTGACTAAAAGGAACAGTAGGAGGGTGTCTACAGCGTGGAAACTTGGAAAAGGGATGAGTCATATCTAGGCAGGATTGGGTAGAACTGAGCAGGAGAGCTAGAAATTTCACCACATTACTCAGAATGGGGCATAATTTAAAACCTATGAACTGCTTATTTCTGGAATTTTCCATTAATATTTTCCAACTGGGTTGACTGAAAGTAACCAACACTGTGGTTAAGGGGGACAGGCAGGTACTGTATATGGTTTTTCTGAGGAATAGGAGTTGAAGCCAAAAACAGTTGAATACTCAATTAGTGTTAAATTTCCCATAGCTACTTAAAACCCAAACACTAGTATTGCTATAATCATCACTTATTAACTATTATTTTTATAGGCCAAACATAAATTGATATAAATAATTTCATTTAGGCTACTTTCCTTATTTTTCACTTTAATATTTCTCCCTATAAAGTATCTTTTAAAAATATTTAAATATTTACTATTTGTGGTATTCTTGATGACTTTATAATTTGGGATTATGTTGCTGCTTACTCTGAAAAAATTTCATTCAGGTAACAACTGCAGTTGGGTTACATAAATATTCTAATTATGTTGAGTAGAATGGAAATGATTCTTGTTTAGAATGTTTTGTAGTAGCCATATTAAACAATGTATAATCATAATTATTTGGTTCTTCCTAGCTTCTAGCTTATTTTAAGTTGAAAATGTGATTGGAATTAATGTTCTTTTTCACTATTATTTTTGCTATAATTGATACACCATCTCATCTCCCTCTCCCTTTCTCTCAATACACACACATGTATGTACATGCACACCTATACACATGACATGTATATTTTATACAATTTTATTTATAGTTCTCTCTTTCTGTCATATTTTACATATATTTGAGTCTCTAAGCAATTTTATTTAGATAAACTATTATCATCTAATACTTATAGGCCCACCATGGGAGAATTAGTGAGCAGAAACATTCTATGTTATTCTGAAAGGTCAAACTATGACCAACAGCTAGAAATCACTGGGAGCAAAGTTCCATAATAGGTTAAGGCTTTCCTCCCCATTAGAGCTATTAAAACATGGAAAGGGTTTCTTGGAGAGGGCATGAGGCCTCTATCACTAGAAGGATTTTAGTGGAAACTGGATTTATTTGTATTGGACTTCAGTTGAAGTAGCAAACATCTATAATGCCCCAAACTCTACCATTTTAAGATTCTCTTTCAGCTCTGAATGCAAGACACAAATCTATATTGAGAAATGAAACTACATGACTTTAAAGGATTTACTAATAATATGTCTGTTCAAGTGACAGCTAGTGAAGCCATAATGAGTTCTGAGAAGGAATTACTGCCAAAATATGCAATTAAAAATTATGTGACTTGGGTGTGGGCACAAGGGATCAAGTTTTACTTCTGAATTAGCATTAGTAACTTGAACTAGTTTGGCTTCCTCAAAGCACCTTAGGGCTTTGGATTGAGAAAGTCCAGTCTTGAAAGAATGAGGCTTTGCCCTACAAAATGAGAGCCTGCTGCACCAGTTCAGTGAAGCTTAAAGCAAAAGAAAACCTTTGCAGTTTGCACAATGTTTAATGTCACCATTCAAATTTATTGGAAAGTGATAAATCAAAAGTTTGCTGAATTCTGAAGTGATTTTTACTTTATTTTCTTTCAATTAGGATTTATATTCCCACTTGCTTTCAAGTGAGGTATTAGGCAGTTATGATTTTCTATTCCACAATGGAGCCAGAATTCTGTAAATTATCTCAGGAATGAATAGTGCAACCAGAATGCAAAAGTACAACACAATGGAATATAATCAATTTGAAAAAAAGAAAAAGAAACACCTTTTTTAAGTATAGTAAGTGACAAAGTAAGTAATTTTCATACAGTAAGTGACATTCAAGGGGACGCTAGTAAATGACATTCTTACCTGTTTCTAGAAGCTGGTCCTATTACAGAATAGCATAAGAGAAGACAGTTTTGGGGTGTACTTCAGTTGAAGAGATTTGTTTTAAGACTGGTCTGGGTCTGTGGCTTCTGAGAGGATTCATAACCATACTTCTGTCTTTCTTGACTAACTGGAATTTTTATTACTTTGTATGAGGTACTAATAATCCATCTGCAGATGTGATATTTTATACCATGCAACAAAAATAATAAAACTTGTCAGAACAGAGCCACATTCTTTCCCTGGGGACCATGTAGGGTTTCTATGAAAGACAATGACATCAGAGTAAGCTTCACTTCTGTGTGTTTTCTCTCCAAAAGGGATGTTCATGATATGAACAAAGGACCATGGCAGGATTTCTGGTCCTTACCAGGTGGGGTGGAGAATAACTTTTTTTTTAAGATTTTATTTATTCATTTTTAGAGAGGGAAGGGAAGGAGAAAGAGAGAGAGAGAGAAACATCAATGTGCGGTTGCTGGGGGTCATGGCCTGCAGCTCAGGCATGTACCCTAACTGGGAATCGAACCTGCAACACTTTGGTTTGCAGTCTGCGCTCAATCCACTGAGCTATGCCAGCCGGGGCGAGAATAACTTTTTTGACTTGAGCACTGGCAGATGTGATTATGATGCAAGTTGTGTATCTCTACATCTTTTGGGACAGCCAGGTGTCAGTTTATTCCCAGGTACATGGCAACATACTAGTTCTAAAACACAGGGACATTTGGGTAGTGACATGGGTTTTTGCTTCATTATCTCTCACTCAGTATTTCTTAAAGCAGATCTTCTTAAATCTGAGCAGGATTTACCTCAGGTGGCTTTGAGGCATTTGGCACATTAATTTTAAAGATTAATTTGTATCCCTTTAGTACCCAGATCTGGTTCCTGCCAAAGAGATGACTTGTCCAATCAAACTAACAAAAATTTAAAGTTTCCAGATACAGTTGAAGGAAATAGGACTATATGCTCCCTGCCTACAAAAATATTTTTTATCTGTGGTATTTTTTAATTTACTTAACATTATAAAGATAAATGGTACTTGATATTTTCAGATATTTCATATTATCTGAATTTATCTGATATTTTCAAAGACATTTAAGACCTGGAAGCTTTCAGAATTCATTGAACTAAAACAGAAAAAAATGTTAATGTTTGTGAAATGAAAAGAAAAAAAGAGAAATGCAGTTCCTTAGCTGGTAAATGATCAGTTTACAAACACCTTGAAGACAAGGACTAGATCCATTCTACACAATTATTACTTGGTCTCAAAATGTAGGCTGACTTGAATCAAAGGAATCTGTTGTATGTGGGCAGCTCA